CTTTTTAGATGATTTTTTTAAATTTATTTTTTGACTGCATCACATGACATATGGGATGTTAGACCCCCCACCAGGGATCAAACATTTGTGCCCTACATTGGGAAGGTAGAGTCTGCATCACTGGACACCCAGAGAAATCCTTGATGATTTTTTAAATGTTTATTTTACATGATTTCAGACTTTCAAAAGTTGCAAGAATGATGTAAGACTCCCCATATGCTCTTTATCCGAATTCCCCGTTTTTAACTTGTTTATTATATCCTTCTCTCTTTATACATAACATTTTTTTTTCCTGTGAACCATTTGAAAGTAAGTTTTAGACTTGATAACCAACACTTTCCCTCTAAAAACTCAAATATGTGATTGGAAAAAATCAGGAAGACTCCCTTATATTAGCAGAGGACTTAGAAAAAACTTGGGGTGTTCACACCATCACAGTGTTGTCACCTGCAGACCTTACTTGGCTTTGTTGGTTGTCCCACTGATAAGAAATACAAGTAAGAAGACTGAGAGGACTTTATGCATCTTTTCAGATACACTGCCTTCCCCACTCTACCCCCACCCCCTCATTAAGCGGAGCAGGCTCTAACCCATATGGAATCCCATATATTTTAAGACACAAAGCAGGTAAACAGCAGGCAATAGATGGTTAGCTTTTTCTACCTTATAGAGAAGGGGCTTCTTAGACTATGGCAAAAGGGCAGGAGAAATGAATACAGAAATTTAGAAAGGTGATTGGATGACAGAAAGGTTTCACTAGATCTTCTGGAGTGGGAATTACATATAATTTCGGTTTTAGCTGAGTGTCTTTTCTCAGCCTTGAAACATCACTACAAGGTGAAAGTAGCTCTGTTTACCGGGCTTTCCAGGTGTCGCTAATGGTAAAGAACCTGCCTGCCAGTGCAGGAGACATAAGAGACGTGGGTTTGATTCCTGGGTCGGGAAGATTCCCTGGAGGAGGGCATTTCAACCCACTCCGGTATTCATGCCTGGAGAATCCTATGGACAGAGGAGCCATAGGGTCGCAAAGAGTCGGACACGACTAAAGTGACTTAGCAGGCACGCACAGCTCTGTTCACAACACTGAGTCATAAGCTGAGTCACAGGTGGAGCTTGACGTGGTCCAGATCACTTAATATAAATTGATCAGGCTCTGGCTATCAGTCAGTGACCAGGAGGCCTCCTTGACTGTCTGGCTCTGGGATGGGCCAAGTGGACACTTTGTAGGTAGGGCCTAGCAGCATGTGAGGTGGACGGCCCAGGACTATAAAATTGACATCATGGAGTGCAAAGTGAATCTGTTCCCTGCAGAACTAAATGACCTCTAAGATCCCTGCAGGTTCTCATATCCTGTAATTTTATCCTATTTTACATTTCCCAGATTTATTTTGAGCAAACAGACCTGCATTCTAATCCTAGGTAACAGTACCTAAAGTAAAAAAAAAAAAAAGAAAGAAATTTGTGGTCTACATTGAGACACAGCCTGCCAGCTAGGGGAAACCAAGATTCCTTGGGATTTCACTCCAAAGGAGCGTGCTGAGTGTGACTTTGTAGGTTGGGCCCTAAGACGTCTGGTAGATACCACCCTTCCTCCTCCTGCAAGCAGAGTTGTGGTTTTATATAGAAAGCCGTTTCCTCCAGAAAGCCCCTGGGATGCAGTGGTGTGGACGTGGAGATGTGCTCAGGTCAGGAGTGAGCCTCAGCTCTCTGGCCAGTTGGGGGGCTACCCCCCTCCACAGCAGCTCTCCTCTTGCAGTGGGATAACAAATACGAGGGGGCCTCGGTGGCTTTGGAGAGGCCGGGGTGGGGGGGCCCACCGGAGCTGACCTGTGTGTTGGGTCAGTGATCAGTGTCCCTGTGTCATGTCAGGGCCAGTTCTGTCTGGTAGGAGCCTCTCTGCACTGGGAGAGGGCAGCTGGTGAGTTAAGATGACAGGAGACTGTGCGGCTGCATGTTCCTGGCACAGATAGAATCGGGTTCTTGGTGGTGGAGAAGTGGATTGCCCCAGTTTGCACCCAGCTTCATTGCCCTGAGTGTTGAGAAAGTTCTTTGTTTCTTCTCCTGCAGAGCGTTCAGACCCTGCTGTTAAACAAGGGCTCTAAACACACTTCTAGGAGAGGGAGAAGAAAGCCCAGTTCTATTATTATTAATCTCAGTTCTATAGAGAGCAAAATGAGGCTGTACCTATTTACATTAAGCTCCATGTTCATAGAATTCATTAACTCCTAAGACTCTTTGTGAAGTTACTCCATGGTGTCCGACTCTTTGTGACCCCATGGACTGTAGCCTGCTAGGCTACTCCGTCCATGGAATTTTCCAGGCAAGAGTACTGGAGTGGGTTGCCATTTCCTTCTCCAGGGGATCTTCCCAACCCAGGGATTGAACCCGGGTCTCCCACATTGCAGGCAGATGCTTTACCATCTGATCCACCAGGGAATCCCCCTAAGACCCTTTAGCAGATTAATATGCTATATAATATTTGCATTGATCATGTTTTCATCTGTTTTTGTCGAAGAGCTTTGTTGATGCTTTTCTCTGATGTTACCTGTTGGGGTGGGCTCAGCATGTAATAAATAAAGCCAATTGACAAAAAAAATCAAGCCTGCCTCTAGGCCATATAACACTTGTTACAGCCGTATTGCAAAGAATGAATGCAGCCAAAAGGTTCAGTGACCTAGTTCAACCCTGGAGATGACCCCCCAGAGGTGTGTGGCAAGGTTAAGGGGTTCCTGCTGTTCTCTGGCTCCAGGAGATGAGTGTCTGGTCCTCAGTCAGCACCCCTGAGCTGGGAGGCCCTTTCCAGGGTTGCAAAGATGGTGCCAGGACACTGGGCCGGGCCTGGAGGGCTGTGGGCTCACAGCAGCAGAGTTTGGGGCCAGCAAGTATTGGCCCTTTGCAGGTGAGCACCCAGGCTTTTTCTTGGACCAAGCCTGTGCCCTCAGCTGTTTTTTGTTTGTTTTTTCCAGAATTACCACCCTGTTCTACAGGTTCCACACCCCTCCCCGAAAATCTGGCCTGGTGAGGGGCCCAGCATTGCTGAGTCCAGGGTGGACATGGTGCTCTCAGGGACATAAAGGGACCAGGTCACCCCATCTGCCGGGGAAGGAGCCAGGATGGAACCTAGTCTGTGTGGTTCAAATGCCATCGACCAGCTTCTCAAGAGCCTTCAGTTTTGATGGTTTCACGCCAGACTATCTTAAGGAAACTGGGGAAAGCAAAATCAACATGTGTGGTGAAGTTATAAAAGTACTCCTCACACAGGCAAAAACAGCAGCAGAAAATAAGGCACCGCCCCTGAGACCAGAGCTCCGGCCAGGCGGGGCCTTCAGAGGTGCCTGGCACAGGGCTGACCCTGGTCGGTCCCTTCTGAGTGGGGACAGTGCTTGGGGGGCCCCAGTGCCATGCTGTCCCTGCTGTCCTCTTGTGCAGGGGGCCACAGGAGACTCTCCCCGGCCTGTTTGCAGAACTAAGTACACTGCTGAACCCTGGGCACCTGTGTTCAACTTGGGAGGAAAGTGGAAGAGATTCAAAGATTTTAAGGCTGATTGCAATGTTTTATGCCTCAGCACCCATCTCTTAGGAAAAGAGATAATCAAGCTATTTTCCTAGTGCTAGTTAAAAGTTGGAAAGATCAAACTACAACTTTAAAAATACATATTTGTATGAATAGTTAACAGGCAAAACGAAAACATCTCAACCATATCCCTGACCTGCCAACTTCTTATAAAACCTCTCGGGAGAACCCCAGAAGTTCAGTGGGGGAAAATGCCCCTTGTGTGTGCCTGGGAGAATGTTCACTCACTCAGATCGCTAGATGCTGTCATCTCGGTGTGTTTGCCTATTGGTTACCAAGCCTCATGGGAACCCGTATACTAATAAATCAGTTCAAGTGTAGGGTAAATACTGTCCAGGACGATGAAAGTTCAGGAAGAGGCAATGGGCCGTGAACAGCAGTGATGGCCGTGGTGGGTAGAGAGAAGCTTGTTACACCGTGATGAGTCTGTGATTTAAAGGACACTGGAATGTGGATGGGAATTTTGAAGCCAGGCATTCATATAATCAAAAAATGTGGAAGGCTGTCTGGGACCGAAATCTCTGTGTTTTTTTTTGTATGCATGCATGTTCTTTTGATTTGTAGATTCGATATGTATGGAAAGTTTTCTTAAATTATATTTTTTAAAAGTACGTTTCTTTATTTGGCTCCACTGGGTCTTAGTTGTGGCATTCAGGATCTTTGCAGTTGTGGCCTGTGGGATCTGGTTCCCTAACCAGGGATCAAACCTGGGCCCCCTGCACTGGGAGCATGGAGCCTTAACCACTGGACCACCAGGGAAGTCCCCCCAAGGCCTTACTCTGGATGACAGGAAGCAGCATGGAGGTCCCGTATAGGAACAGGACTCTGTGGGCCGGATCTCGATCTGCCACTGCCTTCCGTGGCCCATTGGGTGGTTGTAGCGGGGGCAGACAGCCCCAGGCATGGGAAACATTGGAATCCTGCATGATCCCCAGCAAGTGTTGGTGGTCATCTCTTCTTTTATACAAAAGTTTATCTCTCAGTCCCCCAAAGCCAGCAAATAGGCAGCAGGTGGAAATAAGCAGACATGTCCATCCATCTGTCCCACTGTATTGGCCTTGCTGTTGGCGCTGAGTGCCCAGTGCAAGTGTCAGGAGCCAAGTGCAGACAGGGCTCATCTGTCCTGGGGGTCAGTTCCCCACCACCACCCTGTCCCACCTCCCTGCCCTCAGGGGAGGTTCCTTTTTGTCCCCTGGAGGACTCCAGAAGGGCAGTGCACAGAATCTGCTTTTGAAGGACCCTCCCTGGGGGGCAGCCCCTGGAAAGGTGAGGTTGGCCAAGGCTGAAGGGAAGGAGCCCATTTTAGGGGTGCAGGTAAGCGCAGTGTTGGCTGAGTGCAGCCTCTCAGAAGGTCCGCTCTGCACTGGGATCTTCACGTACGTGGGGCTGAACCAGCTGTCTCAGATGCCTCCTCTTGCTCCCTCAGCGCATCTACTATCTGTCCCTGGAATTCTACATGGGCCGCACCCTACAGAACACGATGGTGAACCTGGGCCTCCAGAATGCCTGCGATGAAGCCATCTATCAGGTGTGGTCCTTGGGGCCGGGCTGCTGGGGTGGCCTCCTGTGGGCACCGAGCCTTAACCCAGGCCCTGTGGAGGCGAGTGCTGCCGTCTGGGACCAAACACTCGGGCATGGGTGTGGATGACGCGCCTTTTCAAGGAGAGAAAGTGAGGCCTGGATGGGAGCTAATGCCCAGAGGGCAGAGACGGGGGCGGATTATGATGCCGAAACTCGAAGCTTCTAGACCATTGCACATCACATGCCTACCCCACATGGCAGAAATGCCTGATATTGTTCCATTTCTCTTTACTTTATTGAGCTGGTGGCCCACCTCCAGCTCCCCTCTCCTACCCTAAAGACACTTGTTCTGCACCTGCTTGTAAAATTGACCTTCTCTCCTACTCGGAATTGTTGTCGTTCAGTCGCTAAGTCATTGACGACTCTTTGCAACCCCATGGGCTGCAGCACGCCAGGCTTCCCTGTCCATCACCAACTCCCGGAGCTCACTCAAACTCATGTCGATCGAGTTGGTGATGGCATCCTATCATCTCATCCTCTGTCGTTGCCTTTTCCTCCTACCCTCAATCTTTCTCAGTATCAGGGTCTTTTCCAATGAGTTGACTCTCTGCATCAGGTGGCCAAAGTATTAGAGCTTCCATGGACAGAGGGGCCTGGTGGGCTATAGTCTATGGAGTCGCAAAGAATGGGACACGACTGAGTGACAAATACAAGCAATAGAAAATACAGGGAGGCATGGATCTTTTTAAACATTGTACATTCTTTTCCCCTAAAATGCTGTTTCACTTGCTGCTTAGCTTTTAGTTAAACTTGTGTTGGGGAGATTTCCGTGATGACGGAACTTGAGAATCTCAGGCACATGTTGGCAGTGCCTGCCTTTTAGGCAGGACGTGGGTACCAGAGTCTGTGAGCTGGAGTGTCGATGGTGCAGGGCTGGAGGGCCTCCTCCCCAGGCTCCCCAGTTACAATGCAGTGTGAAAATAAAACACGCGAGACTTCCCTGGTGGTCCACAGGTTAAGACTTGACCTTCCAATGCAGGAGGTACCGGGAGCTAAGGTCCCACACGCCTCATGGCCAAAAAAGCATAAAACAGAAGCAATATTGTAACATGTTCAATAAAGACTTTTTAAAAAATATTTAAAAAAAGAAAAAAACATCCCACTGCTGCATCACCCCAGGCTCCAGTTCCAGAGCGGGTTCCACTAAAAACTAGAAATTCAGAAGAAGCCATTCTCTCCTGAGTGTGCTATCAAGGACACACTTAAAATTACAGGAAAGTTTAAATATACATGGAAATTGACTGCTATGATGAACGTCTTCACACACCATCATCACCTGGCTTCCCCAGTCCTCAAGCCCAAGTCATGGCTGGTCTTATTTCCCGTACAGCCCCACCACTCCCAAGTTATTTAAGAGCCAATATCAAATGTCGTAATAGTTCACATGTAAATATTTCACTCGATATTTCTTTTCTTTTTCTTTGGCCAAGCTGCACAGCTTGCCAAATTCCTCTATCCTTCACTATCTCCCAGAGTCTGCGCAAACTCATGTCCATTGAGTTGGTGATGCCATCCAACCATCTCATCCTCTGTTGTCTCCTTTCTCCTCCTGCCCTAAGTCTTTCCCAGCATCAGGGTCTTTTCCAGTGAGTCAGCTCTTTGCATCAAGTAGCCAAAATTCCTATTTTATAAATAAGTTCATTTGTACTATTTATTGGTTTGCACATATAAGCAATATCACATAGTAGTTGCCTTTCTCATCTGGCTTATTTTGTTTAGTATGATAATCTCTAGTTGCATCCATGTTGCTGCAAATGGCACTATTTTGTTCTTTTTTATGGGTGAGTAATATTCCATAGATACACACCACATCTTCTTCATCCATTCATCTTTCCATGGACATTAAGGTTTTTGTTCCGTGTCTTGGCTATTGTGAAGAGTGCTGCAACAAACATCGGGGTGCATGTGCCTTTTCAAGTTAGAGTTTTCTTCTGATTGATATATGCCTAGAAGTAGGATTGCAGGATCATATGATAGTTCCCTTTTTAATTTTTTGAGAAACTTCTGTACTATCCCAATGGCTGTACCAATTTACATTCTCACCAGCAGTGTAAGAGCGTTCCCTTCTCCCCACATCCTAACACCAAATTTTTTTTTTTTACTTTTTCAACCACTTTGTTATTATTTTTGTTTTAATTGGAGGCTAATTACTTTACAGTATTGTAGTGGTTTTTGCCATACATTGACATGAATCAGCCATGGGCTTACAGCAAATTTTAATGTTGTGTTCTGAAGTCTAAAAGAAAGCAGACTCTAACCTCTGATTGCTACAAGCTCACAGGGTTTAAATATCTTTCTACCTATTACTTGAGGGAAAATATGAAGTACTATTAAAATGTTACCTCTCTTTCTGTTCACAGTTGGGACTGGATTTGGAAGAACTGGAGGAAATAGAAGAGGATGCTGGCCTGGGGAATGGAGGCTTGGGGAGGCTGGCAGGTAACCCCGGCCCCTGTCCAGAACAGGCTTTTCCTAACACAGTGCTTGGTCAGTGAGCAGCACACAGCGAGGCCATGGTCAGCCGTGCTCCCAGCGCTGGCCTGTCGGGGCAGACTGGTCACTCAGAGTGGATGGGACAGTGTGTCCTCCAGGTTGAAATCTTTGCCACCAGTAGGAAGAAAAAAATGCAGCTTATGCTATTCTCTTTCATACAAGGGGTGCTTCATAGTTATGGAGACCAGACTTGCCAATCCTGGGGACCTGGTGCAGAGAGGTTTCTGACATACCTGCCACCTTCCTGATGGGGAGGAAGACAAAGGGATAGAATCACACACATTTACGAACATAGCCCAACTTAAAGCACCTGCTCCTGCCTTACTGCAGTGAGCTGACTGCCCTGAAGAGGCAGAGCTGTTCCTCTCGTAGCTGTCGCTCTCTTCTCACCCAATTTGAGAGCAGCCTCAGTTTGGTGGTTTTTTTCGTTTAGGGTATTTTTCCCCCCTTGTTTTAATTATTTTTGCTGACCTTTATGGGGTGAAGGAGCTGGGTTAAGAACTTGGAAGTGGAAGCAGCAGTCCCAGTGAGGGTGGATCGCACTGTGTCCTGCTGGGCTCTTGGGCCCAGAGCTTCTGGAGCAGAAAGGATCAATTCTGTGCCACCCTGGAGTGTGTGGGGCCCCAGAGTTTACAGTACCATGCGATGGCCCCGCCTGCCCCTTCTGAGAGGCATCCTCCTGTGAAGGGAGCAAATGCCCTAACATTGATCTCTGTGTGTGTGTGTTTATGTTTTCAGAATCCAAGTTAAATTCTGCAGACATTATAAGTGCAGCATATGTTTCTGGCAGATGAAACATCCCACAGATCTTCGCCCTTGGCCGGATCTGCCCCACATCCAGGGAAAGACCCTGTGCACCCCACTTGAGGGTGGGGACGGTGTTTGGAGATGGGCCGAGTTTGGCCGTGTCCTTTGTGTTTGTCCCCCTTCCCACGCCCTTAGGTAGTCCCCACACTGATGCTGTTTTGGCCATAGGCTCTCAGGTCGAAGAGCCTCAGCAGTGGCCCAGCAGCCTCAGCCTTTCCTTTTCATGAGACCTGAGGCCAACACGTCCCCACGGAGCCACTGCCTGCCACCCTGGGGGCTGCTCCCCCCACCACGGGGTGTCTGCTTGCCTCGGTGTCCGGGCCTGGGCTCTGAGGCCTCGGATCTGCTGATTGTCCCTGTGTTTGGACTTCCAGCCTGCTTCCTTGACTCGATGGCCACCCTGGGCCTGGCGGCGTACGGCTATGGGATCCGCTATGAGTTTGGGATTTTCAACCAGAAGATTGTCAATGGCTGGCAGGTGGGTGTGGTTTTCTTCCTTCGCTCACTTGGCGGCCCGCGGGCACACAAGAAAGTAACGAGGCACTGTCGGATCTGTGTTTCTGCTTCTCCAGGGAGGCTGTGTTCCGGCCCTGGGCAGAGTGGAGGGGGCAGGGGGTCGGTGCTGAGGGCCCTGGGCGCTCCGTGCTCTGCGTGCCGTCCCCTCAGTCAGCAGGGCCTGTCACCCGTGCGTTCTCATTGCACGTGGCTTCTGTGTGGCGACAGGACACCTGGAGGGCTCGGGCCAAAGCCTGACTGGGCCTCTTGTATTTGGGAAGATGCTGCTTCTGCAGACAGCTCGTGGTCCTGCTCCGCAGAGGGGACCAGGCTCTGACGTTGGCATCTCACTGATGTACAGGAAAGGAACACCTTCCTGCCACCAGGAAGTCAAAGGCAGGACCAGTTCTGTGATGAGTGTCTGCCTGCTCCAGGCAGAAGGGTCTCGCCTTCTATGGAGTCCTGAGAGAGGGACTCGGGAAGCAGTAACCTCAGCCACATCACTGTCCCCAACCACGACTCAAATGCTCCTTCTTGGGACTTCCTTCCTTTCTGTCTCTGTGACTTGGCTGTCCTGGACGTGTGGTGTAGACAGAGCCATCTTTCTTTTGTGCCCTGACTGTCCTGGTCACATCGTGTAGATGGAGTCACATGGTGCATGCACTCTGAGTAACATCTCGAGGTTCGTCAGTGTGCCTCAGGACTTCTCCCTTTAACTGCTGAATTCAAGCCATTCTTAACATCTTTTTATTTTGATCTGTTCTTCTGCATTTTATATGAATTTTTTTAATAGTCTGAAAGTGAAAGTGAATGTTGCTTAGTCGTGTCTGACTCTTTGCAACCCCATGGACTATACAGTCCCTAGAATTCTCCAGGCCAGAATACTGGAGTGGGTAGCCTTTCCCTTCTCCATGGGATCTTCCTAACCCAGGGATTGAACCCAGGTCTCCTGCATTGCGGGTGGATTCTTTACCAGCTGAGCCACAAGGAAAGCCCAAGAATACTGGAGTGGGTAGTCTATCCCTTCTCCAGTGGATCTTCCCCACCCAGGGATCAAACCAGGGTCTCCTGCATTGCAGGCAGATTCTTTACCAGCTGAGCTACCAGGGAAGCCCTAATAATCTGAAGCATTCACTTTTTTTTTTTTTTTTTTTGAAGCATTCACTTTTAAACCGAGAGCCTTGACCAGAATTGGGAATCTTTACCTTGTAAATCAACTGCAGTTGTGTTTCCATGCTGGGGCTCATCGTCTGGGTGGCGTGGTGGTGCAGGTGGAGGGCGGGGTCCACTGGTGCCCAGGTCCGCCGCCTCCGCCCTCACCTGCCACCTGCCCTCACCTGTCGCCCCCCGCCCCCCTCCACGGGGCCCTGAGCCGGGCGGGCCCTCACCTGTCGCCCCCCCACCTGCCGCCCCCACCTGTTGTCCCCGCCTCACCTGCCGCCCCTTCAGGTGGAGGAGGCCGATGACTGGCTGCGCTACGGGAACCCCTGGGAGAAGGCGCGGCCGGAGTACATGCTGCCCGTGCACTTCTACGGGCGCGTGGAGCACAGCCCCGAAGGCGTGCGCTGGCTGGACACGCAGGTACCACAGACACTTCCCGGGGTGGGGGGCTGAGCCCAGGGACCCTCGACTTACCTCGTGTCAGGGGCTTCCCTTGGAGCTTCCCTGTGGGAGCTGCCTCCCCACACACTTGGTCGGGACGGTTCAGACCCCGACCGTGAAGCTACTTCTGCTGTTTAACAGGAGCCGTGTTCAGGGTGTTTTGTGGCGAGGAGGTTGGTGCCAGAAGGGGCTGGGCACTGCGGGGGCGGTGAGAACAGCTCTGCATCCAGGGGGCTGGCGCTCGCTCACCGTGTAGCCCTGGCTCTCAGTAGGGTCTCCCAGTGCAGCTTACCGATTATTTGGAGCCATCAGCGCCCTGGGCAGGGAGCCCTGGGTGGATGTCGCAGAACAGAGCACCCCCACCCAGCTGGGCCCTGGTAGGGGGACCAGGGCAGGAACACCAGGTGCTGGAGGAGCATGGTGCTGGCCCCGGTGGGCATACACACAGAGTCCCCCCGGCTCAGAGATGGGAGAGTCAGAGGACGGCTTTGTGGGGGGCGGGGGTTGGGGGATAGTTTGCAGTGAGTAAGAAAGAGTCCACTGTCCAGTGATCTGGGCAGATGAGCAAGAACAGGGCAAGCCCGTGAGCCACAGGTGTTCTTGTGGGCTGTCCAGATTTGAGTCTGAACTGGGACTCAGGCCAGGCAGGCTGGCGACCCAAGATGCCAGAATAAGTTGTATTTAGTTTTAAAAAGTGGGGAAGGGGTCTGGTCTTCTAGGTGTGTGTGCCTGTAGAAGATGAGTGGACGAAGGCCTGGAGACCCCAGCGGGATGCGGTGAGGGCCTTCCCGTGGGCCCGGGCTGTGGAGAGGGCTGGAGCGGTTTGCAGATGCTTCACAGGACTGGTCAAGGCCAGGGTCAGGGACAGGGTTGGGGGGAGATGGAAAGGAAGGATGAGGCTGGGGAATAGCCCCCCACCCAGTCCTTTGTGGCTCTGGGAGCTGCCTTCACACCCTGAAGCCACCCTTGGAAGTGAACTTGAGTGTGAGCAGCCCCACAGGTGGACCTGAGGGCAGCGGGGACCCGAGGCAGGGGCGCCTCTGTCAGCTAGAGCGAAATGGTGCTTCCGGGCACACAGGGATGGGGAGAAGGGAGCATGCAGGCTGCCTTGGTTTGCTGGAGTTCGAGGCCAAGGCCACAGGAGGAGTCTCCATAGACGTGGGGCATGGTCAGAAACAGCGGCTATGTGCGGGGAGAGGCTAAGTGAGTCCCAATATCGAAGTCGCCCACGCAGAGTTGAGGGACGAGAGGGCAGGCGTGGAGGGTGGAGGCCAGGGACGCAGGAGGAGGGGCTGCCTAGGGCCCAGTGACCATGGACACTGGCGTGGAAGGTAGAGCTGGAGGAGGCCTGGAGAGCGGCTGGTGGTGTTCGGGCCGGGAGGAGAGAAGCCAGAGGAGGGCGGATGGCAGCCACCAGCGGGCGGCTGCTTCTGTGAGGGAGCCACCCCAGCCTTGGGGGGCGCGGCCCAGGTTGGGGACCACACTTTCCCTTGGCAGGTGGTGCTGGCCATGCCGTATGACACCCCGGTGCCAGGCTACAAGAATGACACCGTCAACACCATGAGGCTGTGGTCTGCCAAGGCGCCCAACGACTTCAAGCTCCATGACTGTGCGTCCCCTCCTGTCCCCACCTGGGGCCTGATCCCACACCAACCCCGGTTGCACTCACAGCCCATGGGGCCCCCCAGCACAGGAGGGCTGAGGGCGGGTTTCCCCATGAGCCTTAGGCTTCCCAGGGACCCTGCGTCCTCCCGAAAGAGCCAGGGCCTGGGGCTGGGAGGGGCCGGGCAGCAGAGCAACCGTGGGGCGCCTTCTGCTCAGGAGCACTTGTCCTCAGACCCATCAGGGCGCTTGGGAGCCTGATAGGCTCGCAGATCCTGACCCCACTCTCTGCCTTCAGTCAACGTGGGCGGCTACATCGAGGCGGTCCTGGACCGGAACCTGGCCGAGAACATCTCCAGAGTCCTGTATCCCAACGACAACGTGAGCAGCTGCTGTGGCACCAGGGGGAAGGGGGCTCTCATCTGTGCTGCCTCTCAGTGCGGGAAGCTGGGCTCCATCAGGGCCCCCGTGCGCCTCACACTGGTCTCAGCTGACCTCCCGAGAGTGAGGACGGACACGGCATCCCCGACGGGGCCCAGGAGCCCCCGGCCTCACACCTCCAGTCCTCCCCATAAAGACAGGGCCGCGGAGCCCTCAGACCTCACCTGCCCCTGGAGTCTGCTCTTCAGCACCTGGTGTGGCTCCCTAAGAAGCGGGGGGTGCACTTGTCGGGTGGGGCCGGCAGTTCCTGTCCTGCAGTGGTGCCTTGAGACCCACATGGTCATGGTTTGAAAAGCTCTTTGTAGGTGTTTCCCCACATGCGAGACGGGGGTCTCAGCCACATGCTCCACGGCCCCCAGATTCTTAGCAGACGAACCCTTAGGGTTTGCCCAGCTCTGTGGGTGTGGTTTCTTATTTTACCAGCGAAATATGTGCACGCAGCAGCACAAGGCCTTGGGCTGAAGGGCTCACAGGATAATGCCCCCACTCCCCATCCCACCCCCCAAGATTGCAAGCAGAGGCTCCCACTTTAGGCGTGAGGCCTCTGGAGGCCCGCACCCCGGAGGTTGTGTTCCTGTCCTTGGCCCCTTGCAGGGCGCTGTGACCCTGTCCTGGCTGCCTGTGCACTCCCTCCCTGTCTGAGGGTCACCTGACCTTGGCCCCAGATCTGGGCTGGACCCCAGCCTGGCCCCACCCTGGGTTGGGGGCCCCGGGGCCCGAGGCCAAGACTGAGCCCAGACATGTCCTCTGGGCGTGTCCGCAGTTCTTTGAAGGGAAGGAGCTGCGGCTGAAGCAGGAGTACTTTGTGGTGGCCGCCACCCTGCAGGACATCATACGGCGCTTCAAGTCGTCCAAGTTCGGCTGCCGCGACCCTGTGAGGACCTCCTTCGAGACGTTCCCAGACAAGGTGCGTGAACAGAGGGCCAAATGGGGAGCCAAAGCTGGGCCATTTCTGGGCGGGGCCTCCTCCTTCCAGCTGCAGCGGGTCGGGCCGGGTGGGCAGCAGCTTGGTAGCCTGGGTCTCCATGTCCCCGGGGACCGGGCCTGGGATGCTGTGAAGGGCCCCGTCGGGCAAAGCAACCAGGTTGCAGGCTCAGTGGAGTGGCCAGCTGCCCACATCCGCCAGGCAGGAGCAGCATTCTAAGGTGACCTGCTCCCTGCTCCTCGCCCAGTTTCCACACTGGGACCCGGAGCTGTGACCAGGCTCCGCGGGTGGGCAGCTGAGGACCCCAGTTCTGCACAAGCAGTTGAGAGGACTGAAGGGGTCGCCCCGTGTCAACGCAGGTGGCCATCCAGCTGAACGACACCCACCCGGCCCTCGCCATCCCCGAGCTCATGCGGATCTTGGTGGACGTGGAGAAGGTGGACTGGGACAAGGTGAGCACTGAGCCTGAGGGCCTGGCATGGGGTGTGCTCCATGCCCCGCCCCGACGGCAGGGGAGGACTGGGCTGGTCCTGGGACAGGGAGCGGGGCCTCCCTGGGGGCCTCAGGAGAAGAGAAGGACGCTGTCCCTGGGAAGACAGGCCCGGGGGTAGGAGTACGTAAAGGAGCGGGTCTGGGGTTTCTCCCAAGGGCAGAATGCTGGGTACAGGCAGCAGGGCAAAGGCCAGAGAAGAGCCGTTTTCTGGACAAGAAAAGGATCCTGACACTTGTCGGAGCTTCTCACGTTTGCTTTGTCATCTTAGAACTGTGGCCAAAGACCCAGAGGTGTTCAGCTTACAGAAATACATCGTTTATTTATGGGCTTGTTCTCCTCACTTCACTTATTTTGGTCCTAGACTCTTTAGTGGGGTTTTCTTGATATCACTAAGTCAACATATAAAGCCATTTTTCCCCCTTTTTTAGTGCCAGAGCCCCTTTCTGGTTCGGGGTGCACCTGTGGGTGGGGCTGAGCCGGTGCAGTTCACCTCTGGCCAGCAGAGGGCGGGGCCGCGCACTTCACCAGCTGTCCCTGGACCACGGGTGTGAAGTCAGTTTGGTGGAAATAAAGCTGCCTGGAGCTCTGTTGGGTTTGCAGAGGAAACTGGGGTGATTCTCAGGTAGTGAAGAGGTGCTCGGTCCCGTGTATGTCCTGGGTCATGTCAGGAGAGTGAATCGGTTCGGTGTGTGTGCTGGGTCACAGCAGGAGAGTGAAGGGCAAAGCACTCACCATGGGTCTGGGAAGCTCCAGGCCCCAGAGCAGAGACGTGCAGCTGGCAGGGCCCTCCCTGGTGGCATCTGAGCGCCTGCCTCTGGCCCTGCACGTGCCCCTCGGCTTGGTGTCCAGCAGCTGGTCTTCTCTATTCACTGTGGGGTTTCTGGAGTGTTGCGAGCTGGTCTTCTCTGAGCACTGTGGGGTGTTCTGGAATATTGCGAGCTGGTCCTCTCTGAACACTGAGAAGTGTTCTGGAGTGTTGCGAGCTGGTCTTCTCTGAACACTGCGAGGTGTTCTGGAGTTTTGGGAGCTGGTCTTCTCTGTTCACTGTGGGGTTTCTGGAGTTTTGGGAGCTAGTCTTCTCTAAGCCTTGTGGGGTGTTCTGGAGTGTTGTGAGCTGGTCTCTGAACACTGTGGGGTGTTCTGGAATATTGCAAGCTGGTCTATTCTGAACACTGTGGGGTTTCTGGAGTGTTGTGAGCTGGTCTCTGACACTGGGGTTTCTGGATTATCACAGGCCTGGGAAATCACAAAGAAGACTTGTGCGTACACCAACCACACGGTGCTGCCTGAGGCCTTGGAGCGCTGGCCGGTGTCCATGTTTGAGAAGCTGCTGCCGCGGCACCTGGACATCATCTACGCCATCAATCAGAGGCACCTGGACGTGAGCACGGCGGAGTGGCGGGGGTGCACCTGCAGGGCCCGCCCGTCCTGTCATGATGGGGGGAGGAGGGCTGCACCTGCTTCCCTGGGCCTTCCTCTTCACTCCCCATCGCACCGTCAGGCCTGGGACAGGTGCTTCTTGAATAGAAGAGCCTCTCCTCACAGAGGACTTGGGGCCTGGGGGCTGGCCCTTGGCAGAGGTGTTGGCTGGTCTCTACACTGGGAGCCCTGCTTTCGGGGTTGGGGGGAGCCTTTTTTTCTATATCTGAGGAGGTTCAGATGTAAGTGTCTTTTCCTGGCACGCCAGAGGCCTTTGTCCTGAAACATCACTACAGCATTTGGGTGATGGGGATAAAGTCACCGCTGAGACATCACTACAGCGTTTGGGTGGAAACGCTTGGGGGAAAAGTCACCTGTGTCTTTTCTCTGTCAGGCATAGAGAGGATGCTGGTACAGGAATGGGGGAACTTAGGGTTCAGGTGTGATGATTTTCCTCTTTTTGATCTTTCGGTGAAAGAGTGGCTGTTCTCACTGGTAGACTGTGGTTACATCCTGCCTGGACCACTGGACACAGCATCTTCATCTCTTCCTGTGGGTCACACGGCACCTGCTTGCTCCACCAAGTCCACAGGCTGAGTCCGCAGCTCAGGGCTAGCCAGCCTGGGCTGCAGCCACCCTGGGGGAGCAGCGCCCGCCCTCCCACTCACCGCTTTGTCCTTGCAGCATGTGGCCGCCCTGTTCCCTGGGGACGTGGACCGCCTGCGGAGGATGTCGGTGATTGAGGAAGGGGACTGCAAGCGGATCAACATGGCGCACCTGTGTGTCATCGGGTCCCACGCCGTCAACGGCGTGGCAAGGATCCACTCGGAGATTGTGAGGCAGTCAGTGTGAGTGGGGGGCGCCCTTCGGCTCCCACCCCACCCCCGCCACCCGCAGTGCAGTGGCTGAGGCCGATAACCTCCCAGAGCTCAGTGGTGGGAGGGTGAACTTCTCGCTCGATGGACAATGCTGGGGACTGAGCCCTCTTGTCACCAGGAGCCCCTCCGGCTGTCGGTGTTCTCCATCTGTCCAGGCGGAAGGTCTGCTCCTGGAGCACGTGCCTGGGGATGAGGGGCCCAGGCCGGACTGGGGGAGGTCAGGGCAGAGGTCAGGCCTGGGGCTTGTCTCCGAGAGGAAGGAGGGATTCCGAGGGCAGGTTCCCTGCTCCAGCCCCTCTCCGTGGGACAGGATCTCGGAATTCCTTCTTTTAGTCCTCATCCCAGTCCTCAAGTGGGACACCTGCCATGATTGCGTCTGGCGGCCTGTGTCCCCAGTGCTGGCCTGAGGCTTTGTGTGATGTGCCATTTTTATCCCCGCTGTCTGTCCGCAGCCTGCTGTCAGGACCACTGGGAGGAGGCCAGGCTCCAGCCACCTGCTGGGGTGGTCAGGCTCCTGGGGAGGCAGAACAACAGGCTGGGTCCGGGGCCCCTCCAGAGGGCCCTGTGCCCTTTGCCCGCCTTGTTTGAACCAGCATTTGCCGAGTCGCCTGTGGTCTGTGTGCTTAGTTTTAAGGACTTTTACGAGCTGGAGCCGGAGAAGTTCCAGAATAAGACGAACGGCATCACGCCCCGCCGCTGGCTGCTCCTGTGTAACCCGGGGCTGGCAGAGACCATCGTGGAGGTGAGGCCGGTGCCCCCCAGCCCACCTGGGGCTGTGTGGGCATGACCCACCCCCTTGCATGTGGAGAGTGGAGGCTCCTGGACAAGGGGGTGGGCACTGCCGCCTACAGGTGTGACCGGCCTGGCGGTTGGTCGGCAGCCCTGGCGGCCCGTGCAGGAGTTCAGAGGGGTCCTGGGCTTCAGGTCCAGCTTGTGAGTCCTGACGAGATGTGTGAGCTGGGGACGCAGTCATGGTTGACTTGTTCCCGTGTTCTCGAGCGGCTCCAGTGTGCAGGACCTTCCGGGAGGGGGTGTGGTGGAGAGGAGCGGCCAGAGGGGATGCAGAGTGCAGAAGCTGTGTCACCCTCACGGTTCCTCAGAGGATCGGGGAGGGTTTCCTGACAGACCTGAGCCAACTGAAGAAGCTGTTGCCGCTGGTCGGGGACGAGGCACTCATCAGGGACGTGGCCCAGGTCAAGCAGGTAGGCCTGACATGGGGCCAGGAGCTTAGCCCCCACTCGGCCCTGTGGAGGGGCCCCATGTCCTCAGGGAGAGCTTGCCTGGAGGGGAAGCACATGGGAATCAACGCAGGCCCCACATATCCACTCGAGGTGCTGTGTGCATCCCCAGGCCCCCCGCAGCTGTCTCACGGCCAGGCTTTCTGGACAGCCTCTGAAGACTGAGACTGACCCTCTGTTGCGCCACTGGTCTGGCCCTGGGGGCCCAGAAATAGTGTTCGCTTCAGGGTCTCCGTCCCTGTCTTCTTGTCTCCTTTTTCTGCTTTTCTCACCCTCGCTTCTCCCCCAGGGTTTGCCTGTTGGTCTGGTTTCTCACTCAGCTCTGAGCTCTCGTGCAGATCCACTCTCAGGGTCACGCTTCTCTGCTTCCGCCCACGTGGACCCCCGGCCCTCCGTGTCCTCCCTGGGACGGCCCCTCCCTGCTGCATCTCTGACGGGCTCACAGGCTCAGCCCTGTGAACACCCCACTGTCCTTGCCGCTGTTCTCCCAGGAAAACAAGGTCAAGTTCTCCGCCTTTCTGGAGAAGCAGTACGGGGTGAAGGTCAACCCCTCATCCATGTTCGACGTGCACGTGAAGCGGATCCATGAGTACAAACGGCAGCTGCTCAACTGCCTGCACGTGGTCACCTTGTACAACCGTGAGTGCCCTGCCTGCACCCCCCCCACCCCGTGGACCAGACCTTTTTCTCACACGCTTGATCTGACGTGACACGTTCACTTTAAGCAGCGGCTTCTGGTTTTCTGTGTTCAGAGCAGAGCAGCTATAAGGAGTGAGATGTGAACTCAGAGGTTGGGGAGCTTGAGGCCCAGGGGATGCCCTGCCTCTGGGGTGGGGCCTTCAGATCCCTGGAGGCTGGGTTGTAGGTTCGGTGTAGCCTTTCACATTTAGTTATTGTTATTAGACTTGTCTAAAGTTACCCGGAGACACTTTACTCAGCAAGGGAGGCATTTAAGGTGCACTCTTGGAAGATGAAATAGTATGTTACATCTCTACACCTTAGTAACATTTAAGTGGCATTTAATTTTGAAGCAAATGTGAATCAAAGAAGCTCCCCAACCACAAAGTCACTATGAACATTTTCTAGTTCTATAAATGAGGTAATAAAACGTCAAAGAAACCTGCATAGTTTTTAGATCTTTGTAACATAGTAATAGTAATGTAGTAGGAGCAATAGTATCATAGTAATATTAATAGTAAAATAGCAAAGTGCATCCTGATTTTGAAAACGAAGGAACCACAAATACAGCTCCTCTGGAGACTGTCAGCTCCCCAGTTCCCATGAGGGAGACTTGGTCCCGAGGGCCCCACCCGATCACTCATGAGACAGTTCAGATGCCGGTTTCCGTTGAGCGGCTCTGACCCAACGCTCAGAAAAGGCTCAGGGGAGCGCCCTCCTGTGAATGTGACGCAGGCATCTCCTGGGTCAGAGACGGCAGTTCCTGAAGACCTTGTTTTGTGCCGTGGTTTGCTTTCACTGTTGTGATTTTCTGCATTTTCTTTGTCGTTGCCCCAGCGGTGCCCTCAAGTCCCCTGCTCCCAAGCAGCAGGGTGGGTCTCCCGGCAGCCTGCCCTCTGTCACTGCCCCCTCTGGTGGCCCGGGCCACCTACTGCCCAACCCCCCCACCCCCCGCGCCACCTCTGCTCGGGGCGTTGGCAGCATTCGACGGGGCTGGCAGGGCGTGCACCGCCTGCCCACTCATCCGCTGGTGTGCTCAGGGTGGGGTGTGGTCTCCCCACGGGCAGCCCCCTCGCTGTGCCCTGACTTGGGTCCCCGTCTGCTCTGAGGGCCGTCCGGTCACCCTCCTGCTTGGCTCCTGTGACCCGAAGTCTTCCGTGTCCGTGGCATCGGTGGCCTTTCCCAGGAAGGGTAGCTGGGCTGAGGCGACATCCTCAGCCTCCCTGTCTCCTCCGGCAGCGGGAGGGTGGTCCTCGGGGGGCAACACTCTGGGCCGGCGCTCGTCCGGCTCAGCTGTGTCAGCCGCTGGCCACCGCGGTCAGTTCTCTCCATGCTCACGACCCTCTGAGCGTGTTGGTTGGTGTCTTCTATCCCGGCTAAGAAGTTCCTTGAAATACGTGGAAACCTGGATTCGGCTTCTTCCTCCTGGGGCTGCAGTGAGCTGTGTGGTTGATGCTTCTCCCACCTTCTTTTTGCCCATCGATGGCATGCTCTCTGCTTTTCTGCTCCCTGCTGTCTGCTGGTCCTGCTCCATGCTCTGTGCTATTCTCTGTGCTTCTCTCCTCCCTGTGGTTTCTGTGATCGGGTCGCACCTCATGGGGCCGTTCTGCCTCGTGGCCCATGTTTTCCCTATCTTGGTGTTGCGTTTCGGGCCGTGGTCTCCCGTCTGCACTGACCATCTTCACAGGCTGGAGACTTAGGGGGGTGGCTTCCACTTCCCTCATCTGTGGCGAAGCTGTGTGTTGGGGTTGGAAGAGCTGCATCAAGACCCCGGCCGGAGCCTCATGAGCTCAGGGCAGCTGCAGGCCTCCCAGCTCCAGATGCTTCTCTGAGGCTATGTCCTCTCTCTGTGGCGTGTCCCCTCTCTGAGGCCGTGTCCGCCTCTGAGGCCGTGTCCCCTCCCCGAGGCCGTGTCCCCTCCCTGAGGCCGTGTCCCCTCTCCGAGGCTGTGTCCCCTCTCCGAGGCTGTGTCCCCTCTCCGAAGCCGTGTCCCCTCTCCGAGGCCGTGTCCCCCTCTGAGGCCATGTCCCCTCTCCGAGGCCATGTCCCCCTCCAAGGCCGTGTCCCCTCTCCATGGCCGTGTCCCCCTCTGAGGCTCTGTCCCCTCTCTGAGGCCACGTCCCCTCTCCGAGGCTGTGTCCCCTCTCTGAAGCCATGTTCCCTCTCTGTGGCTGTGTCCCCCACTCTGTGGCTCCAAGTCCAGGCTGGCTCAGGAGGCGTCGTGGCCTGTGGGCCTATGCCTACCAGGATGTCCAGGCCCCTCTCCGAGGTTTCCCTGTGGGAGAGGGGCTGACATAGTCCACCCACCCAGCCCTCGGGGGCTCTTTGCCTGCCTCCTCCCTTCCCTCCCCAGGAGGCCAGGATTCCTGAGACCCTGCGCTTACAGCCCCATCTCCCACCCATCTTGTGCCCCGGCAGGACTTGCTCAGTGATCCGGCATTTGCATATTTTTCTTCTCTACAATGTAGCTTGTGGTTTGGGGCTTTTTTTTTTCTCTTGTTCTCTAGGTCACTCTGTCCGCTATCTGGAAGCAGGAAGATTCAAAACTCAGGGACTACAGGAGCCTTAGGTCAAAGGTTAAAGATCAGCCGTGCCCTTAGTGGATACTGTAAATCTCGTGGCTGATTCCTGACCCTGGTGAATACTGTTCAGGGCAGCCCCGCACCTCTGTAGACACCACCACCCCGATGAAATCTGAAGACCCAGTGGCCCGGCAAGGACAGCCCATTCTGCTGGGGCTGGAGGCGAGCTGTCTGCTCCTGTGCAGGAAAGCTCTGGGGGGCTTCTCACCCTCTGTCCCAGCAAGGGGGGCGCTTGGTCTCTCACTGACACCCCGCGCAGGCTGACAGTTAATCACCACTGTCCCAAGGTCAACCCATTTTTGAGTGCCCATCACATGCAAGGGCCTTCAGTCCTGGTCACCAGACCCAAAAGAGCTCCTGTCTTGGGCTGTTCCAGACACAAAGGCGCAGCTTTTCCACTGAATCTTCTGGAAGAATCTGCTCCTGGTTAGTCTTTGGCACCAACCTGGACGCAGTGCAGAGTTGTGTAAACGGAAGCTCCTGGCGGCACACCGCTTGCATCAGGCTGGTCTCTGAGGACACTTGTTACCGAGGCAAGCACAGGGCTCAGGCATGTCTGGCTCCAGTTGCCTTACTTGGTTGTCTTCTGTCTGTCTTACAGGAATAAAGAAGGACCCGGCCCAGGCCTTTGTGCCCAGGACTGTCATGATTGGGGGCAAGGTGAGGTGACGGCTTCTTTGCTCTTGCTTGGTGTTGGGCGGGAACATACAAACCACCATGCTTTTCCACAGTGTCCCTGTATCTGGGCTGGACGCTGCAGGTGGCTAGGTACCGACCTGCACACAAAGCCCAGAGGTCCATGCCCCAGTGATGACTCTGGGCCAGGACGTTCAGGTGTCTCATCAGCTCGGCCACAGGAAGGGAGCTGGATGGGACCCCTGCCTGCCCAGGGCAGTGGGGTGCCCAGGGCCAACCTCCAATGGGGAAGCACCCTTCCTTGTTGTGATTGTCAGCATTCCACATGTCCCATGCACTTTTGTGCTGAGTGGACACCGGTCACTGGCTGCTTCATGAGCTAGATGTGAGCCTGCTCTCCGCCTGGCCTCACGCATTTTATTTACCGTGGCACGTGCTTTAGGACATGTGATCACAGAGTCCCAGTGTGTCGCCAGAGGGCATCGGCAGGTCCCACCACAGGTCTCTGGACTCTAGCCCCCATGTCCCCACCCTCTGCCACTTTTCCACAGAGCCTGGGCACAGCTGCTTCATGGGGCTGCAGGCGGGCCCAGGTTTGTTCTCTGCTGCGACTTGAGCACCTCCACAGGTGGAGGCATGTGGGCTCCCCCTACTCAGACAGCAGCTCACACCTGACTTTTTCTGTCTCAGCCCCCCCACCCCACCCCTGACTCCTGTTCCTGAAACAGATTCTGGACAGTACTCTTTCATTTGTCAGTATTTCCATACGCATTTCTCAGAGATGGGGACTGTCAAAAAGTTTTAAAATGTTTTTTAGAAATGAGAATCTAGAGAAAAAAAGAATCGTAGAACATCTGCAAACCTGTTGCCTGACTTTTGCTAAACCTTTTCGAAGTAGATTACAAACATTTCACCCCTAAGAACTTCATTAGTTGTCTTCCCAATGACGTTTTCCTGCAAAACCACACAACGCCACCATCACACTTAAAACACTTGACAAGAATTCCTCCACGTCATTAAATATCCAGCCAGGGCCACATGCCTGGCTGTCTTATTAGAAATCTTGAGTTTGTTTGAATCAGGATCCAGTAAAGTTCTCACATGGCGCTGGGCAGCTGTGTCTCATCCATAGGTTTTCGTGCACATCCCCCCTTTTTTCCTCTGCAGTTTTTTACTGAAATTGGGTTGTCTCCCCCAGACCATGTCCCTCTGGTATCTCCCAGAACCTTCATGGGTTCCCCGTGTTTCCTGTAGTTTGGTAGTCAGTTCTCAGGGGTCCTTGTTCCCTCTCTCCATTTCTAAAAAACAAACTAGAATCAGGAAACCAAGCTTGAGGCTGACTGATCTGTGCGTGTGGGTAAAGGGCTGTCACGAGAGGCGCTCACTCGGCACCAAGGGGGCGGCTGGGGTGCTGTGCCCTGTGGGCCCGTCTGTCAGGTTGAAAGACACACAAGGATGCCATGACCTCAGCCCCCATGGGGCCCCCTCCCACCAGCCGAGCCACTCAGCTGGGCGCGTCCAAGCCGGGCTCCAGCGACCCTGCCCTGAGCACAGGGTATGTGCTGTGTGACCCTTTCCCTGTGGCAGGCAGCGCCCGGCTACCACATGGCTAAGAAGATCATCAAGCTGGTCACATCCATTGGTGACATCGTCAACCATGATCCGATTGTGGGCGACAGGCTCAAAGTGATCTTCCTGGAAAACTACCGGGTGTCCTTGGCCGAGAAAGGTGAGCCCGCCCTGCCTGGCTGCAGCGGGTGGTCCTTGCTGGTCAGGGCCTGTCTTGCCTTCAGGCAGATTAATGGCCCTGATACCACGTTCCCCAGCCAGAGGGGCCCCGGTCTGGTAGCCAAGGCCCTGGTCTCTGTACTTCCTGCCCTCCCCTCCTCATGCCTCCGCCCCTCAGCTTGGCCTTCCTGCCCCTGGGCTCGCTCTTGGTGGCCCATGCCCCCCACCCTCCCCCTGCCCCAAGGATGATTCTGCTTGTCCCCACCTGTTCACTCTGGCCTGCATCTGCTCTGGGGGCATCTAGCTGGGGCCCTCCACTGTGGGGGTCCTGGGTACGTGTTGCCACCCAGAGAAGGGCCTGTGGCCACATGTGGCTCAGAGCAGGGTTCTCCTGAGCTGGACTGGCCTTTCTAAGGCAGCCGCTTCTAGAGACCTGGCAGGAAATGCTAGGAAACCTGAGCCTGGAATCGTGGCCCAAGTTGTAGCCCCTCTGGTCCAGGGGACTGTACGCTGCCCTCCCGCATCAGTGGAGGGCAGGCTATCACACTCCTTCCCCCTCCAGTGCAGCTTGGTCATCAACATCATCCCTGTGGTCCCACCACTGCCCTGGACTATCTGTGGCACCAGGGTTGTGTTGTGGTTCGTGCTTCACTGAGCTTCTCACAACGTCTCAGGCCCTATGCCGCCTGGAACTCCCAGGCTAGCTCTTGCACTTCCTAGAACTGACCTCGGGGACAGCCTGGGGTCAGGCCTCATGCTCCCCAGCTCTTGGACTTGCTGTAGTCATGTGTCCACCATCCTGTCTGCCCGTGTCCCTCTGTCCGAGGGGCCGGGGGTGTCTATGTCTCCATCCCAGCACCTGGCCCTGACCATGAAGACGGGGCTGGACTCTGAACTTGGCTGACCCCGAGTGCCCACTGACCAGGTCAGGGAAGCAGCATCTGTCAGCCCTGAGGACCTGCTGAGGATGCGGGAGCAGGGTCGCTGAGGCAGGCAGGATGGAAGCCGTGCTCCTGCCGCCATGGCGAGACACAGGAACCCACGTGTGGGAGAAGCTGCCCGGCTGCTGGGGGGTTGTGACTCGGCTGCTTTGCCCAGGCTGTACAGAGGGACTACCAGGCATAAGGCCACGGGAAGACTGTCCCCAGTCCTCTGCTCCTGTGAGAGTCGATTCCTTTCAAAGTCATTTAAGGAGCCTATGGGCTGATGGACTAAGACAGCAGTGATGTCAGGATACAAGGGAAAGAATACCCAACCCAGCTTTGGTATGGCCCTGGTCCACAGGTTCTAGGACAGAGGTCCTCTGCCACCTGCAGGGCTTCTCGGCATCTCCACGTGGACCCACTGCCTCGAGCTGCCCTTGGTTGGGAAGGGGAGCTGTGCAGGGTGGGGGGCAGTGCATGGTGTCCCCTGGCCATTCCTGTTTCTCTTTTGCCTCCTGACTGATGGGTCTTGTCTGCGCCCCACTCCCCGCAGTCATCCCCGCCGCCGACCTGTCTCAGCAAATCTCCACCGCGGGCACTGAAGCCTCAGGCACGGGCAACATGAAGTTCATGCTCAACGGGGCCCTCACCATCGGCACCATGGACGGGGCTAACGTGGAGATGGCCGAGGAGGCCGGGGCCGAGAACCTCTTCATCTTTGGCCTGCGGGTGGAGGACGTGGAGGCCCTGGACCAGAAAGGGTGGGTTCTTCTCGAGGCCTCCATCTCCTCTAAGTGTCCTCACACCCGTGGATACCTTGAGGGGGTCCCAGCTCAGCCTAGTCGCCTGAAATCCCTCAGGGGACCCGGGGAGGCCTCAGGCACCAGGGGCTGAACCCAAATGGTGGGAACCGTGTCAGCCTGCAAGCACTGCCCCTTCTGGCCTTGCCCTGTGTCTGCCGCACGCCTCCCTCTCCCCGGATTCCCTGATGGCTCTCAGGTCCGACTTCACATGTCATTTTCTTCTGCAAGGTCCTGGCACGGATTGGGGGTGGGGGCTCTGCGGGACCCTTTGAGCAGCCCCTCCTGAAGGACCATCTCAGCCACCACATGTTTGTACCAGGAGGAGGTGGAGGTGACGTGCCCTCAGCAGCCAGCCCAGCCTGACTGGGCCCGGCCCTGCCTGCTCACGAGTCCGCCGTCTCCTGCAGGTACAACGCCCGCGAGTACTACGACCGCCTGCCCGAGCTGCGGCAGGCCGTGGACCAGATCAACAGCGGCTTCTTCTCCCCCAGGGAGCCCGACTGCTTTAAGGACGTTGTCGACATGCTGCTGAACCATGACAGGTGGGATAGGACCCTCGTCCCTCCCCACTGCTCGTTCAAGACCACACATCATTTGGGGTGAAGCCTGGGCTTCAGTGAGGCTCACCCCCACCTCAGCCCATGACCAGAGGCTTGGCCACATCCAGGCACTTGGGCTTGTGGGGCCTCTGACTGTGCTTGGCGAGCCTCAGAGCCTGGTGATGGGATTGCATGACAAGCAGGAGGTGATGTCACGTCTGTGGGTGGATGGAGGTGACGTGCCTGGGATGCAGGGAGCCTGGGTGTTAACCACTCCTGGGAGTCCAGGAGTGGTTCAGGTGGAAAGAACTTGTGAGGCTACAAGTCTCCACGTGGTTCGTGTTTTATGACAAGGCCACTGACACGGGGTGACGCTCCTCTGGGCACAGCCTTGCTCACTTGTCACAGGTCGACAGTGGCATCTGCCTTGACCACAGGCCTCTGCTCCACCCTGGTAAAAGGCGGGTCTGCTGAAGGCTGAGAATCGACCTTTATTCCACTTTCGGTTCCTGTGGGTTAGTCTGTTGTGTTCCAGTGAATGTCATCTGCTGGCTTCTGTCAAACCCAATCATAACTCCATGCACATCTGGGGCTGGGCGCTCAGCCCTGCTGATTCTGGGATCTAGGAGAGATTTTACAGGGTTCTATGAATCGTGATCCTGAATCAGTTGTAAACAAAACACATTTATGTGTCATAAATCCTGTACCACCAGTTGTCAGCTGACGAGACCTGAGAACAGGTGGTGGTGAGTCTACATCCCCTGGGCCCCCCTGGAGGTGGAGGGGACCTTAGTCTGTGTTCCTCTAGCCCAAGGGCATGGTTTCTTTCAACAGCATGGGGCTATAATAAGGTTTTTCTAGAGTAGTGTCTCCAGGACAGCACTGCTGCTCAGAGAGCAGCCACTGTGGCCACCCCTGTCCTGTAGAGCACAAGGACGCAGCCAGCCAAATCTGGGGGCCCTTTTTCTGACCTCCCATTTGCCACCCGCCCAGCCCAGCTTCCTGTCTCCCATTTCAGGTTCAAGGTGTTTGCGGATTATGAAGCGTACGTGGCGTGCCAGGCCCGGGTGGACCAGCTGTACCGGGTGAGATTCTTGGGCCCTGGCAGGGAAGTTGCAGGGTGGGACCGTGTCCTGCTGTCTCAGGCCACTCCCAGGAGCTCACAGCTGACCTAGTGGCCCAGAGCAGGTCAGGCTTCTTCCTCTCTTGCTCAAGGACTGCCTCAGCTGGGCAGCTGCCTGGGCTATCACCTGGGACCCTTGGGGCCAGGCTGCTGTCCACACCAGCACACATGCCCCTGCAGCCTGGGCGCCGCCACAGAGCCAGCGGGCAGGGCAGGACCTTGCTCCCAGAGGCGCTGCCACACCCCGGCTCAGTCTGACCGCCTGCGCGCGTGTGAGGAGGACATGAGGGGCATGAGGCCTGAGGCAGGAGACGCGGATCGTGGGCAGCGAAGACCTTTGTGCTTAAAGGGAGGTGAATGGTTTCTCAGGCAGTGGACGGGTCACCAGCGAGCAGGGTGAGGACCTGCAGCTCCAGGGCGGGCACGCTGGAGCTGGCTCTCCACTGCCGCCCCAGGTCCCGCCTCTGTGTGACCTGCAGGGAGCGGGCACAGCCAGGGGAGCCTCCCGGGAAGACTCAGCTCCTGAACCTGGGGAGGTGACAGGGTGTCATAGCCCGTGCACCTGGCCAGGCTTGGCCGCAGGAGGGGACACTGGCAACGGGGGCGTGGCTGTGTAGTCGCTGCCCAGATCGTCAAAGCAGGTTTTTGGACACAGCCCGAGGGGCTTGTATCTCACCATTCCCCTCAACTCAGGAAACAGCTCCTGAAGTCTCCTCCTGAGACAGGACAGGAGGGGGCCTGGGAGGCCAGGTGACCCTGGGCTCAAGGAGGTACCCTGACCTCCCTTCGAGGAGTGCCCTCCTGGCGCTGGCTGCAGTCTGGGGGCGAATCCCCTCCTGGCAGGGTGTCTGCATTGTGTGCACTCTGCCCTGGCAGGACCCCTCAGGCTCCAGGCCGTCTGCTCACCTGGAAGCTTTCCTGGTGGGTGGGCCCCCTTCCCAGTGAGCTCTAGCTGTGAGGGCCTGCCTTCCGTCAGGCTGCCCAGGGCTGAGCGCATCTGGGAACAGACTGAGGTCACTGAGCGCCAACCTCCCTCTGCAGAACCCCAAGGAGTGGACCAAGAAGGTCATCAGGAACATTGCCTGCTCGGGCAAGTTTTCCAGTGACCGGACCATCACAGAGTACGCCCGCGACATCTGGGGCGCGGAGCCGCCTGCCTTGCAGGCCCCACCGCCCAGCCTCCCCAGGGACTAGGCCCCAGCCTCGGGACCAGCTTTCATCCCCTTGCTGACTCTGCCCGTTGTCTCCAAGCATTTTGCTAGCGCCCTGCTTCTTTCAGTGCCACTTCCAGGAGGGTTGGGGGAATCGTGGTGGTGGCTTTGAGGGGCTGGGGTGTGGAGATGCCCCCTCATTGCCTGCCGGAGAGCAGGTCCCAAGCACTGACAGGGCTCGCCCCCCACACACCCCCACCCCCCAGGATGCCCACTCAGCTTCCCCACAGCCCTGTACAGACCTGTGTGAGCTCGTATTCAGTTTTGAGCCTCTGCACTTTGGAGTCCAGTCAGGTAGCCATGACAAAGCTTGGGCAAGTGTGTGTTTCTGCAGCACACAGGCTGGCCGTCCAGTCTCTCCCAGCCCAGCTCTGCCTCCTGGCCCTGCTGGGAGGGTCCAGGGCGCTGGGCCATGTCCTAATAGTGGCCATGTGTGCACCTGACCCGGGGTTTCCAGATTGAGCAGGTAGCAGGGCCCCAGGGGAACTGAGGGTGACACTGGTGAGGACACCTGTGTCCAGAACCAGGGGCTTCGGTCAGGACAAGGCTGGCTGGTGCAGAATTGGTTCAATTTTGCTTTTTCAAAAGATCTTCCACAAGGAAATGAAACTAGCTGAGGTTTTCCTTGTTTTAGCAAGGGAAAATAGCACTTTTGAAGTTTATGCCTAGGGAGGCAATGCTGGGGTGTTTTCACTTGGGGTCCCCACCTAACTGGATAAGGCTGAATGCCCAGCCCTGCGCCAGGCCTGCACCCTCCCTCTGCCCGTCAGGCAGGAGGCAGCAGGACAACCTGGTCTGGAAAAGGACTGGTGGGCCCAGAGGGGAGCCCACCCTCCATTCTACCCAGACGGCAGGATGGCACCAGGGATGGCGGCTGAATGGTGGGAAGGATGAAGCCTGGGAGCAGGCGGGAGCTGGGGCAGAAGCTTGTGGAAGCTCTGCACTCTCACATGCTGGACCTGGGTGGCTTGGGGTTCTGCCCTCACCCCACCAGAACTGGGGGGTCTGCAGTTGTGCCCCCAGCACCCATTGCTGCCCGCTCTTTAGGCCAAGTGTGACTGTCACTGTGCCCCTCGCTGTCACTGCCTCGTGTGAGAAAAGCGATTAAACCTGCTTGTGCTCAGATGCTCTGGCCTCTGCGTGTCTCTGCACCCAGGGCGCTGCGTGTCCCAGCCTGGATACACTATGGCCCACCGCTCTGGGACTGGGGACAGAACGTTCTCTCACCCAGCTGCTGTGGGACTCGGAGCCCCGTGAGCCTGAGTCATCAAACCCAGCATTGCGAAAACGTCAGCTGAGTGTTGGCGTTTTGGGTGTGAATTGTACTGCTCTTTTACACCTGTCTTTTGCCACCCACTCCTGGTCCTGGGAAGTGGAACTCCTGGGGACCAAATCATTCCCCTCCCCAAACTATATGGCTGCAAGTTAAATAAAAAACCCAGTGAGATGTGAACTCAGGGCTCAGTGTTACCCAGAGAGCCCAAGTGTTGGGGGAGGGGCACCTGGTCTCGGGTCTGGGGCAGCTCCCAGGACACGTGCTTCCACAGGCTGTGACCACAGATCAATGTGGGCATCTCGAGCTGTTCTTGACCACAAACTGACTTTGTGACTCAACAAAGGGTCAGTCCTACTCCACAGTTTAAGCTGAGCTTCTTGGACTGAGGTAATAAGCGGAGACACCCCCAGGCAGAGACATGTAGACCTAATTACATGAAAGGTGTCGAGAGCGGGAGCTACCTGCTCAGCAACCTTGTTATGCTTTATCTTCAGGCTGTCAGACCTGTAAAAACACTAACACCTTGTATTTTTACTTTATATCTTACTTTATCCTCCCCACCCACCCCCCACGGTAAAATCTGAGGCAACTTACACAGACAAAATTTAAAGAAAAACAGGATGAAGGCTTGAGCCCAGGCAGAGCAAGCGAAGTGTAGACAGTCTCAGATGGCCTCGCTGGTCAGGACGAGCAGGGGATGTGGCCCTGGGCTGTGGGGCTGCCAGGAGCCCCAGTGACAAAGCCTGAGAAGCCCATGGGGGCCGCCCTGACCACATGGGCTTTGTGCTTTAGTTACATGAAGGCAGTGTCAGATCAGGATAGGCATCCCAGAAAGCCAAGGGGACGTGAAGCTGAGGACCAGGTGGCTCAGAATTGCCATGGGCAGCTCTAAGGTGTTTTGAAGAGGGTGTAATCTCCTGTTTCTGGGCCTCCAGCCAGTTCACAGCTGCTCACAGGCCAAGGGCAGTAAGGGAGAGAAGGCAAATAAGCTCCTCCCCACCCCGGGGAATTTCTGCACTGACTCGAAAGTGTCAGAGCCTAAGGATCTAGGGGAGGAAGACCTGCCTTTAGGAGAAGGTGAAAGTTACTCAGTTGTGCCCGACTCTTTGCAACTCCATGGACTGTACAGTCCATGGAATTCTCCAGGCCAGAATACTGGAGTGGGTAGCCTTTCCCTTCTCCAGGGGATCTTCCCAACCAGGATCAAACCCAGGTCTGCATTACAGGCAGGATTCTCTACCAGCTGAGCCTCAAGGGAAGCCCAAGGAGAGTGAACCAAAGTCCTCTGCCTTGAGACTAGCCCTGTACTGTACGGTGTGCAGCCCCCTTAGAAAGCCACACACCATCTCCCTCTGGTGGTGAGAGGAGGGTGGTGAGTGGGCACTGGCGTTGTGCGTGGGAGGTGGGCTTGGCCAAACGCCACGACCAGTGAGTGAACAAGCTGACACTCCCAGGGCAGAACGGGAGTACCTGGACTCCAGCAGCCTGAGTCCTTTCACGAGTAGCCAGGGGCTCGTCCCGGGTCTCTGAGGGAAATCCCACTGCCCATCCATCAACACAGCAACATTCAATGAGCTTGTTAACTGTAAGGTTGAAAGGCTCACCCACAAAGACCTGGTTTTAGGAAAAGGCCATCTGCCCCACCGGAGAAGACAACCTCCCCGTGAACATGCCTCCGACACAACACCCCTCCCTGCGGGACCTCAGTGTCTGCAGGAGCTGGAAGAAACCCTGCAATCCTTGGCCTTACAGAGCCACCCCCTCCTCACATGGCTGGGTTCAGAGAGTGGCCTGGGGCTGTGGGCACAGCCTGGACACCGCTGGAGGCAGCAGTGAGAAAACAGATAGACCACCACCACGATTTTATTCTTAAATAAATGCTCAGTCTAAGGCCTGGTTAGGCAGACAAGTGGGTGGACATCAGAGGAAGGCAGGTCACCGGCCCCTCCCCAGCAGGGAGCAGCGGGGCGGCCCAGGGAGGCAGGGACAACGAGGAAGGCAAGCAGGGTGGGCAGGGCAGGAGGGGCTGGTAGAGCCATGAGCGTCCATTCTGGAGGGAACAGAAAGAACCCACGTTCGCCCACGTTCTCAAGGGTGGTGCCAGAAAGCTCAGCGTGGTCCCAAGACCCCTCACCTCCTGTCCCAGGCTCCCCGTGCCTGGCTCAGGAGGTATGGGATCAACTAGCCAATGGCCAGAAAGTTCTGTCACTGTCTTCCCAACAAGCCCTCCGGCTGAGGGGCAGCATGAGGGGGAGAGGGTCACATGCCGCCTCCGCCTGGTCCACAGAGACCCCTGCTCCCCGCCACTCAGGACAGTGCCTCAGGTCTGCCAGGGCTTCCCCTGGCATCCGTGTTCCCTCTCCAGGCGCATCTCTGGGGGGCCAGGCTGGCAGGAGGAAAGGGGGACGAGGGCAGAGGCCTTCATGTTCCCAGGCACGAGCAACTCAGTGCTGGCGTCCCGGTTCCGACTTCCCCAGGAACTCCCTGGAGCAGAGGAGAACAGCTGTCAGCCAAACCCCTCCGGGCCAGATCGGAGACCCCGCCTCCCACCGTCCTCCCACAGCCCACCCGGGAGGCCGCAAAGAAGCTCCAAGGACCACACCCTGCGAGGCAAATGGGCAGGGTGCCAAGGGCAGCGCCAAGTGAAGTCCTGACGGAGTGAGGACAGGTCACTGCACCCCGATGCTGGAGCGGCTCTCTGGTCTACATTTTCTGTGATGTGTGCCTTTTACAGGGAAAAACCACAGTCCCAGAGCAATGCCATGCTCTTACCATCCCCTCTCAGCAACACACATTCCATGTGCCAAGAAATGTCAAGACCAAAGAGCTGTGCCCCTGGGACTTCGAGGGCCTCACATACCAGTGGAGTTCCCCAGCACACATTTCTCCAAGGGCTGATTCCAGCAGCCTGGGCTCAGCAGAGGCCCCGCAGCCGGGACATGGGGACAGCCTGCACCCCCGAGTGGGAGGCCGGGAGCGTCTGGTCCATCGAAACCCTTCCCTCTGCCATCCGGGCACCCTCGTTCCCAAGCTTGGGACAGGTGGCTGGGCTGCAGCCCACGTGCCGGCCTCCCTCCCTGAGGCATCTGGGGACCAACAGGCTTTAGGGGAGCTGGCCCAGACCTGCATTACCCCTACCACACAAACCCCATGCAGGGGCAGTGACCTGACAGGCCTGTGGGAGGGGACAGGGGGGCCTGAGCACAGCAGCCGTGGTGTCCTCACTGCCCAACCACACACAGGGGACCGCAGCCCAGCAGGCCACACGTGCTGACACCAGACCCCCTTGACCAGCCTGGCACGACTGTCCCAGCTGTGGCCACAGGGGCTTGCCCAGCTCCCGCATGCCATTCTGCGTGGCGGATGAGGGTGGCGCCTCACCTCAGGATCCGCGGGAGCTCGGGGCTCTTGTAGATGTACTTGTGTCTGTAGCCGAGGTCCGAGTGGAAGGGGATGAACTGAACCTTGAAGTCCCGGAAGCTGCGTGACGGCGCGGCGATGTTGTAGAGCTGGGGGAGGGAGAGGAGGGTCGGCGCCCGGGGCCTGGGGTGACCTGCCTCAGCCACAGGACCCTTGGGCCACCCCTCAAGACCCTCTCTGTCCTCACCCCGTCTCAAGACCAGCCTTCCTCAGGGGCCCTCAGCACCCTCAGGCCACCTGCCCCGGGATGCCATGGTGGCCTGAGTGCCCAGGGCAGCCTGACGGCTCTGTCCCAGGGCTGGGTTGGTCGTATGCCTGGGTCAAGGCCCATCTAAAAGCTGGCTCAGGGTCTGTGGCACCTCAGCCCCTCCTTCCAGCACTAGATGGCCAGGTCCTAGGCACAGACCTGTTCGGAGGCAGCCTGGGCCCCCTGCCCTCTAACCTGCCCCTGCCCCTCACCACTGCCACGGTCAGAGGTGCTCCCTCCCACCCTACTCCCTACCTACAAATCTAATCCTGCTGCCTGGCAGCAAAGGCAGATGCAGCAAAAGCAGACACAGAGGCCCCACAACAAGAGGATGTCTGAGGATGTCAGCCCCATCCCAGAGGCAAGAGAATACGTGAGAGTTCTGAACCATCAACCTCCCCTGCCTTCTCCCTCACAAGGGGCCCGGCCAGCAGCGGGACCCTCTTCCACAACTGCCTCACCCGAACATGAGTCTGCCTGACGCCCACCTTTCTGCCAAGCTGGAAGGGCACGACCGGGTCGTCCTCGGCGTGCAGGATGAGCAGGGAGCAGGAGATGTGCTTCACACTGCGGGAGCGGGGAGGGAGAAAGGCACTGGATGGCCAGGACAGGCTGGGCCTCCCGGGTTCCCAGACTGCTGACAGCAGGGCCCAGTGAGGGAGCACTTCACCGTGGTGCAGAAGGGCTCAAATTGCCAGGCACTTTTAATACAGAACTAGCAACTGATTTCTTAGATGTTTCCATCAGTATCTGTTCTAGGTGACAAGTGTCAATCAAATCTAGAGATAAATTCATTCACCAAATCGGGTCCCTGAATATTTCCTGGAAATTTAAAAAGAAAACAAACAAACTTTGCCAGTACACTATTCTTAAAAAATTACAAATGACATTTACAAACTGACTAACAGGTGGGCCAGGAAACTTACCGCAAATGAGCATTACTGGACACCGGCTGGCAAAAGAGCCACCTCTAGTTTCTCTCTTGTGTATACAACATTTAATTCCTGAACGTTTCAAATAAATGAACATTCTCAAAATGGTCACTCAATCCAAACCCTTCAGCAAATCGCCTACCGAAGGACAGGCTGCAGGACTGGTAGGCCCTGGGCGTGCCTAGCTGCCCCTCACTGAGGCCTCCCGGGGAGCTGGTGGACGCAGCAGACGCCTGCTACTGGCAATCTC